TCAGAGCACCTAAGACAGACATTATGAGAATAAAACAGAGGCCAGAAAAACATTATAAATCATAAAAGATGACACAACCATAATAAAAACATATTTTTAAAAATAGAGACATAAAAAGCACAGTGCACATTTTTAGATAGAATTTTAAAATAAAAAAATTAAAGCAATCTGTTAAACAATCCATACATAAATTTTGGCCAAAACAAAATCAAACAGCAAAACACCTACAAAAAGACACAACATGATTTGGTCTGCTGCTTTAGAGCTAAATATGGATGTGATACTGTTGTAAACAGGTTCTGAGTTAAATTAGCTGAAAAGACAAAACTCTCAGCCTGATGCTCACATTATTAAAAAGGAATCCCGTCTCTACAGTCTCTACAAACGCTTTATGATATGACAAGATGTGCAGGAGACATACAAAATCACATAGTTCATCAAACCTATCTCCTCAAGATTTTCTCTGTTTTTTTGTGCCATGAAATATTTTTGCATTTTTTTCAATAGTTTTTTAAACTTGTCTGCCTTCATAAATAAAAAAAAAAAATGCATTAAAAACCTTTTTGTTCTGTGAAATATTTTTGTTTATCATGTGTTTTCATTGTGCATTTGACCTTAAGGGCCACCATACCAGCAAAGCTTCGACTCACTTTCAACTGTACAGCCCATTTTTACCTTACAAAAATACAGCACAATTTGTACATACTTTAGTCTTAATATGATACCAATAGTTTCGCCGCACAAGAGAATTTCAGCGAAGCTCCAGACGTCTTTGCATACCCCGAACACGCTAATCTGCAGCTCGAGGAGGAACCTTATCTTCCATCTCTAACTTCAAGCACCTCAGTGTCGCAGGGAGTAGAAACTAAGTTGACAGTCGATGTTACTTCTGCTGATGTGTAGGCGAGCTCTCAGCAAATGACAGGCCAAAGTGACTCTCCTGCTTGGGATCAATAAAGATCCCAATCTGCAGCTCGACATGCTGATGACAAGAGCGATAAGCATCACCTTCAAAGCAAACCTGCTGCCTTCATAGACCCCCCAACATAAAAATTGATAAGGCCTGCAGGCTGTTCTCCTTGAATAAACCCTCCAGTTGATAAAGTAGACACTGTGCTCTTACAGGATTTATCTTTGTTCTTCCCTCACAATGACAAGCTGAAGTGAAATGAACATTTCCTTTATTTCCCTTCCGCCCTGGTGCAGTTAGAGGAGTAAACGCTCCTGTGAAAGAAAAAGAAAAGCAAACAGATCTGTTTCCAGAGGCTGTCACTACTCTAATACCTGTCTACCTGATGATTAGTCTGTGTACTCCCTACATGAGAGCTCGCAGCTAAAACAGTCCTGTTCAACAGTCTGAAACTGAATCTGAAAGACATAGTTTGTCGAGTTGTATAGTCACATCAATCAATCTTTATTCATAATGACGGAGCGCCGTTAAACGCCCCGTCATTCCCCGACTGGCGTCAATCCCACTTCTGACACCAAATGTCACGGGTTCGTTCGGGACAAAAAATGATGGCGCAGACAGAATTCCAGTGTGATGGGTTTTTATTCACACCAACTCCCCAAAAACAGCAAACAGTGGCAAAAATACAGTGCAGGAAACAAAACAAAAAAATGGGCAAGTAAATGACATATTTACAGCAGGTTTTTAGAAGGACTTACACTTGTTAACTTGTTGCCACTAGGACAAGAGCTCTCTCAGAGTGAGCTATGTGCTCCTTAAAGGGACTGCTGTGGGGTGACGCAGCTCAAGGAAGAATTGATCATATATTCATGATCACACATTATCATTTCCTTGAAATAATAATCACCATATATCATTTTGCACTGCAGACGCCGTAGTTCTTCTGCCTTAAAACTTCTGCCTTGGTCTGGTTGCATTTCCATTAAGATATGATCATTAATGTTCTTCCAGTCCGTAACCGACTGGCCCGAGGTCTCACTACAAACAAGCAGCTGCTGGAAGAGAGAAGGTGAGTTGTGTTTAGTCTGTTTGCCAAAGAAATTAGGCAAAGCTAAAAAGATATTTGGTGGCTAGTGCTGTGGCTGGGACCCTATATGTACTGTTGACAAAGTTAGGTGCCGTTCTGAGCATTATTTGTGGCTATCAAGTGGCGTTTTGGTTGAGGTTTGTTTGTGGCTTCTCAGACTGCTGTGTACTGCTATCCCGCGGACGTTACTAAAGCTGGTATAACTAGAGAAGCAAGCGGTCTGCAACATTTATCTCTCAAGGAGGTGTCTAACTCGATGTTACGGTGTGTTTGACCCTAAATTAAGTTTACGCCGTACTATCCCTTTAAAAAACCCTTAGCCCCTCTCCAGGGCACATTTATAAACAAATTGTAGGGGTTCAAGATACAAGATGCAAAATACAACACACAATTTCTCAATAAGTCAGACATTACAACATGTACAAGAAGGCACTAATTACCCTCCATACAGCTATGACCTTAATCATTGACAACACATTAAATCAGACAAAATATCACACATGAACTATAATGGTATGGTCCGGCGGTCATATGACCCCCAAAAACGCGCCAGCTTGTGCTAATTACTGAGGGACCAGGAAGTGTCCCGGTTTGGCTTGGAAGATGGCAGCAGGTACGTGGCTATGTGTGTGTTTGTGTGGCGTGTAGTCGTTGAGTTTGCACCTTCAAACGTCTTCAGCGGGGAGAAAAGAGTCCAGATAAAAAGGGAAATAATTAGTTGGAGAGCAGGACTGCGGGACACAGGTGCGGGGAAGCAGTTAAACAGTCTGACTGAGCTTGGCTCCGCGGGGAGCGAGTGCGTTCCGTGCGCGCTCCCGGCACCGGCACTCTCAGGCCACTAGAGAGAGACCCGCGCCAGTCGAGGGATGACGGGGCGTTTAACCGCGCTCCGACACATTCATAAAGCACCACTTCACAACAAATGTGATCTCAAGACAGCAGTCTAAACCTATATGTTCCTAACTGAGATCTGGTCCATGCCTGAACAGGGAAAGATTTGGGTCTACTCTGAAAGGTAGAGAGGGGGTCTGCAGCTGGACTGCTAGATGATTCCAGAGAGTAGACCACTTTTAGAGACTTGAGGTACAATGAGCAGCCCTGCATAATGGGACCGCTTCGGTCTGGAAGAGTAATAGGGAACATTGAGCTCTGCAAGATCTGATGGTGCCTGACCATGAAGATCTTTGTAGGTAAGAAAAAAGTTTTTATAGTTCTCCCTGTAATTCGTCTGGTATCCATACAGGGGAGATCTGCTGTCTTCTCCTGGTTCAGGTCAGTACTCAGGTTGCAGAGCTTTGGCCTGATAATGGGGATTTACATAAATCCAACAGAGAGGTGACAGATGTATGCACTAGTTTTTTTGCATTGTTCTGATACAGGATGTGTCTGATTTTTGGAATACTGCACAGGTGAAAAATAGCAGTTCTAGAGAATTAACTATTTTGTCCAGCAGTCTCTGTCACTAGCAGTTTTCTATAGTTATTAGTGACACAGCTTATTTCATTTAATCACATTGTTGTTGTTGGGAAATTATTTAATTGATATAAAAGACAAGTTAATTTTGGCTGATTTACAACCATTTTGAATACACACCCGAATCAAAACCAAATAGATTCTCTGACACAGAGATGTGACTGTTTTTTATGTAATTTAAAATGATGGTTTTAAACCAGCTTATTGTGGCACCTGACAACATCATTTCAACTCATTTACAAACCTCTGTGTCAGCAAGATGTCAAGACCAGAATTTTCATGGTATAGGGCTGCAAATAAGTAGCCAATAGCTTATGTGTTTTACAACATGATTGGAATTATAAGGGTCACTGGGTGTCCTCTATGAAAATCGAGCAGTACAAAATTGTGTGCAAATGGTTTGCAGGGTGAAATTTATGGTTTCATGATCTTACACATGAGCCAAATAATCAAACTCACGTTTTTTGTGTAAGTTTTCAGTAGTAAGAAAGAGGGGGTGTAGTTTGTGAAAGTTACTCTAAAATTAGAAACCATATCAGCATCCTGGCAATCTGTCTCTTTATTCACTGAACAAACTAATTTCCTTGCTCAAATGTTGTTTGGTTAGACTGAGAGCACCCTTTCCCAACACTGGTGAGTGACAGGTAGATTGTGCACCTGCATGGATACAGGCTGAGAATCCAACATTGCAGTATTCATCCCACTGATTAAAAACTACATTTACACTCATATAGTTCATTACTTCACCTAACTTCAGTCACAGATGTTTAATATATTGATTATTCTTATCCAAGTGTACATACAAATATCTGTTCTTACTTTCTATTCGTATGAATTCTTCTGCCACGTTTGGCTTGTTAAGATCATGGTGTGAAAATCATTTGTCTTCAGTCTTCCTTTGAAGTTTTGAATTAATGCAGTGATTTATTTTAATGTCTCTAAAGGTTTCCTACTAAATTTAAAAATGGAGACAAAAGGCCTGCACCTTGGGCAGTATTTGAACTTTCTAGGGAATAAACTGACTTCACGGTATTACAGAGGAAGGGATGGTGATAATGATAAAGTCAGTGTAAAGTGCAGGGAAAATTGAGAGGATGTAAAAGCTTGATTTTGGCTGAAAGCAGGATTAACAATCACAACTATGTTAAAAGAAGGAGGACAAAAAGCTTATGTGTGGATGACTAGTGATCTGACAAAAGACAAAAAAATAGAGATCCAGTCCAGATGTTTGGCCCACAGATGACGATGTAATAAGTCTGCTTCCTTAATTCATTCTGTCCCTCTAACATTTGTGACCTTATCAAAACATCATGGAGGCCCAGTGCATAACTGGGCTGCAGTTATCAGAGTATGGGATAACAACTTTTGCTGAGTCAATATGCTGGTGAAATTCCTCTGAGGTCAAATAATCTCACAGGTCAGAATGTGGTGAAACACATGAATACTCAGAGATGAGCCCAGATTTCAGTCAGGACCTCTGAGTCATCATTCAGCAGCAGCTGAGCAGCAGTCCTCGTGTACCCACAGTCTCTACTGCTGTCTAATGTATGCCTTTCTCTCTCTTATTGCAGAAAGCGAAGTAAACTAAGTCAGAATAGAGTCCAGTGTTCAGTTGTGAAAGAAGTGACATTAATCCCAATCCAAAAGAAGCTGCGTAACATCTTCATACCAGATTTTTTATCATTTGTATATCATCTTAAAGGGATATTCCGTCCTTCCTTGAGCTTCTCACCCTGCAGCAGGCTGTAACGGATTGGCCTGAGGTCTCACTACAAACAAACGGCTGCTGGAGGAGAGTAGGTGAGTTGTGTTTAGTCTCTTTGCTAAGGAAATCAGGCAAAGTTAAAAAGATGTTTGGTGGCTAGTGCTATGGCTGGGACCCTATATGTACTGCTGATGAAGTTAGGTGCTGTTCTGAGCATTACTTGTGGCTATAGAGTGGCTTTTTGGTTGAGGTTTGTTTATGGAGACGTAAATCACCTTGTATTGCTATCCTGCGGTCGTTACTAAAATTGGTATAACTAGAGAAGCAAGCGGTCAGCAACAATCATCTCTTGGGGGGTGTCTAACTCGATGTTGTGGTGTGTTTGACCCGAAATTAAGTTTACGCCGGAATATCCCTTTAAGTGACAGTGTAGAATGAGGATACTGAGGAACATCTAGCAAGAATGAGTCATCATTCTGAGGAAACATTAACAGGATTTTTGAAAGCAGCACTGAGATCATTCAGCATTATTTTCCTGTGAACTAATGTCACTTTTAATAAATAAACCTTTCCTTGCTCGTCCAACAGAAAACTGACAATGTCAGTGTTGCTCTTCAAACATAAATTTTTCATTAGGATTTTCCATCTATGAAAGAAAACACTGATATTAACCCTTTTGTTTTCTGCTATTACTTTTTTCATCTTTTGTTCAGACTCACATTCCCGTCTTTTGTGATAAGTCTGATCCTGCATTTGTCAAGTTTTTAGGATAAAAAATATCAATACAAATATCAATACAAATTCATTTGCACACAGCAACAACAACCAATCTCACGCTGTCTGTTTAACAAGACATGTTTGGGTCCTGCTAGTTTGTCCATTCTGGGCTACTGTAGAAAACATGGCAGTGTGACAAATGTAGCAGCCAAAACCTGTTACTTTGCTGATATAAAAGACTTGCACTAAGCCACTAAGCGATAATGATATTAAATTTCATAGAACCTAGTTTAAATATATCTGTGTAACACATTCTGCTAAATTCTACAGAATGTACCTTTAATATCAAGACAAAATTAGATAACTGCTGACCCTACTCAGGAGTTATTTTGTAAAAAGTGATGACCAAGGACCTGATTGAAAGAAATGTAATAATAAGTGATGAGGAAGACTGGGCAGCTGAAACCAATAGAAACCAATGATAGAAATTCATGAAAAAGGTGACGATGATCCTGACTCCCAACTCTGACATCCAAAATATGACAAAAGGGATAATTGCTGACCTGATGTAAGAAATCATAAAAAAAAAAGGTTGAGGTGGACCTGACACAATAATCATGGAAAAACTGTGTTTTCAGGGGTATAGAAAGGAGTGTCATCTGCATAGCAGTGGTAATTTTTTGAGTGTGTCCTGATAATATTGCCTAGAGGAAGCGTATATAAGGTGGAAAAGATGCAAAAAGAGGTGAAAACTGCTTCGACTCAATGCACCCAGCCTGAACGAGGAGACAGATTTGAGGCCATTTCTTTACTACTGTCCATAAAACCCTTTTCTATGATGTTGTCATCATATAAGAGGGTTTTTATGGACAGTCTATTAGAGTACCATTCACACTCATCTGTTCTTTACATGTTGTCCTTTGTACATGCGCATTTGTGATACTGAGAGTATAAGTGCCTCAGGTGAGGTTATTCAGCATCAGGTAAAATGCTACAAAGCTGAATGAATTAATTTCAGCCAAGATGCTTCATTAACAGATTTTTCTGCGTCTATCCATTTCTTAAATGTTGCACCTGCTGTTTTCAATCCCTGCACCATGCCTTCTTCTCTGAGGCTGCAGTGAACCGTCTCCACAGGCTTCATTAAAGTTTCATCCAGGTCAAATAAAAACACTTCATTCCTGCGGACAACAATATCATTAAGTGGTTTTACAAAGAGGTATAAGGTGGCCATTCAACCATGAATCCTGCTGATTTTATCTATTAATTCTGCACTTTACATTATAGCCTCTCTGGGTTTTTTCCTCCTCCCAGACACAGCTAAAAGACTCGCTCTGGTATCTGTAACATATTTTCTATCTCATAAAGTTATTCCTGAAGCTACTTTTTTGCGAGGCAGATGGTGAGTGATTTGAAATCAGTACCATGAGAGGACAAAAAGGTGGAAGAAACAGAAGGAGGACAGAAATAGACAACTGGGGTTTGACAAATGAAACCATTTTCAAACTTTTTAAACAAAGTCAAAGAGAAGTGAGAGAGCCCAGCCATGGAGAGCAAAACAAATAGACTTTTATAAGGACAGGAAAGGACATGCTGAGGTTGATGAGCACACAGCTGAAGACAGAAAAGGTGAAAAAGAAACTCAAATGATAGGATGGAGGGCTTGAAAAAATGGGAGAATGATCTGGAATGATGGGAGGAATTAGGTGCAGAGAGAGAGGGAATATAAGAGGTCACATTTCAAACCCATTCACCCTGAAGACATGCGACACATGGTCGTGTCAAACTGCCTCAGCTTCTCTCATTAATTGCCCAACTACATCTGCTGAGCTGATCCAACATGAAAGTGCCTCGAGTGGAAGAAAAAAACACACACTTCTTGATCAAACGGATGATTCCAGGCAACTTAGAGAACTTTTCAATCTGTTTAACCGTAGATGAGGTCAATCTCACTAAATCCATTTTTTTTTTCTGAAATGTTTCACCGGGATGAGAATTATGTAGAAATCTAGAGATAGGTAATCCAGTTTCTTCTGTCTTGGTTTAAACAATAGAAAGAAAGGAAAAAAGAATAAAGACTCTGCTTTTAAAGATGACCATTCTTCATTTGTCCACAGGGGGAGCCAGAATCCACAAAATCAGAAACAAGTCAAGCGCAAGCAGGTGCTGTCCTTGGCTGATGCCGGTCAATGTGATAAGGTATGATTGGATCTGATGCCATACAATTTAATGCAATATAATCAAATATGATACAATACAGTATAATACAATACCATACTATGCAAATATAAGTATTGACTGCTATTATTATTATTACTCTTTAAAGGAGCTGAATTCTCATCATGAGGATCTACGCTGAGGCACCTCAGAAAGAAGAAGGACTTATACTCTGGTCTTACACGGTAAGATGGATCACAGACAACTTGAGAATACAGCCTTTGTGGTATTGACTCAATCAATGGATTTATAATGGATATGAATTTAAATCACCCACTTGATCCTGATTGAGGTGGTCCTTTTCCATTCATTACAATGTTGGGGGCTGGGAGACTCTCAACACGGTTTAATGTCATGTCATGGTAATGTTTGCCAGTTTATAGTCCCAGGGGAAATTAATATTTACTCAAATCTGGCACCAAGGCTTTCAAGAAGCACTATGTAAATCACCACAGGTACAGAGGCATTACATATAGCCCACCACAGAAACTGTATGTATGCTTTGGCTGTGGAAATCAGGCTTTTCTGAAACAGGTCCTCCCACATACTGGGACTCTCTACATCCTCCTAAAGGACATAACAGTGGGATGGTAGTTATCTCGGCAGTGGTATTGGTTGTGTAAATGACAGCTCTTGACAGTAAGCATGTTAAAGTAACAGGTAGAACAGTACAGCAGGATGGGATAATGCATTGCGCATCATGGAGTCCTTCAAGGTTACAGATATAGAAATGTAGAATTATTATCCGGATGCTTACTTCTGTCTAAAGAAGACTAAGAGGAAGAGGACAGCCCTGTGACAGCTTGCAAACGTACACCAAACAATCAAGACGACAGACTATGGCCCGACATCCACAAAAACTGTCACGATTTCATCCAGACGTTTGGAGTGTTGTCTGGAGAAGTAAAAATAGCTTGAAAATAAATGTGCTGTAAGAGAAACGGTGTGCATGTGTCGACCGTCCAGCTAATACAGCTCTGACAAACAGTTGGTGTAGAGAGCAGCCAGGGTTTGTTTGTGTTTGGACACACAGGGCGGCGTCTGTGGCCAGATCGTGCCTCTGCCTTTTCCCTCTTTATTTTGTTAGATGGCTGATCGGGCACACCTGCAGATCGGCCAAGGTGCAGCAGTGAGAGCTGCTTTATTTCAGCTGCCCGGTCCCTCTGTTTGCGTGTTGATGTGTGTGTATGTGTGGTGGGTTTGTACAGTCTATGTACACAGCCCACTGTCAATCTTATTTTTCAAGCTTAGCTTCAGTGCCACAACTACAGCTCAGATGATCAGTTTGGCTCAGGTGATATTTGTGCAAGTGCTTGTTTGTGTGTGTGCGCACAGTCATTGAGCACACATTGCTGTGACAAAACACAGGTTTTTTTTGCAGTTGACAAAGCACAAACTCAGGTGAAAACTGGCTTCAGCGTGATTTAATGTACATGCACGTAGACACAAACGCAGCGCATCATTCTGGCAGTTGCTCCTCTAGCTGACCTGCATACATTGCTGCAAAAAAGCAGCGTCACTGTCTGCCCCCCCTCCGTCAGTCCTCCCTTTTTCTTTTGGCCTCTCTTCACATCAGCACCCCTGAGTCAAAGAGGAGCATCAAAAAGGCTGACAGCTGAGAAATAGACTTTGACATCAATTTGGAGTTTCGTTGACAGGGTCTATTGACGCGGCAGCATCTTTTCTCTCTGAGAGGTGTTTTTTGTTGGTCGGTGCAGGCTTTCACAACAGGTCAGCTGTTTGCAGCGCCACAGGTTTACTCATCGGGGTGTAATTTTTGAGAATATGAGCAAAAACTTCAAAAAACAACTTTATTTAATTAGCAGCTGGGTGCAAAGCTGATGGATAAAGTTTGCTCAGGTTGCGGCTATTAGAGATTCATCATAGTCGGTCGAGCATGAAATATTTGCATAGTGTTAAAATTGGTGTGTTGTGCTGTGAATATGTATGTGTAGAAATCTCAGCCTCCCAGTTGACCTTCAGGCTAATCTATGTTAGTTTACTGCACGAATAGCATTGCAAACATTTTATTTCTAATGCAGCAAGCAGCACCCCTTCCTCTTCTGGAGAGGCCTCACGAATCAGTGATTTAGCAGAACGTTCCTCTGTTTTTGTCAAATTATCAACACTATGACAATATCCGACATGTTCCAGCTTCATAGTCCATGCTCTAGTTAGAGAATAGACATGGAGAAGCTCTGCTAAACAAGGTGGTCTAGATCCATTAAGAGCCTCGCTGGTGAAGCAACTGGAGAGATGTGATGTCGGCCATCTTCCTTTCAAGTCAGATGGCGAGCGGCTGCATGTTAAACAAGCTGCAAGCGCTGAATGGATGACTGATCTAAACCAACATAGGAGGAATTACAAATGTCGAGATGAGATGAATGTATCACCAGGTGTGGGATGGCTGTCCCCCTCATGTGCTGGAAATCTTAGAAAAGAAAGCTGGCTGATTTTTTCTCTTTAGCCGTCTGCAGAGCTTGTTAAAAAAATAAATTGTTGAGAAGTTTAAACTGTCTAACTTTGTGTCACAAATATGGCAAATTCACTATGAAAGCTCTTCTGGAAAATATTTCAAAGCAAAAGCCCAATCTGTTCTTTCTGTGGAGAGATTCCCCCTGTTTTCACACAATGCTTTTATTCTGAAGACATGCCAGGATGGTTATTTGGTTTAAAAAAAAGGGACTAGCATGAAATATAAAGTTGGCATACATCACATTGGCTGCAGCTAAGCTTTGTCAATCAATTAAATCTCAACATCTCGTAATAGAAATTTCTATATTTTTGGAATCTTACTTTCCCTCATGAGCTGATGTCTAAGTTGAACACCCGTTCTTAAAGTAAATAGACATGTTTCCTGATAATAACATATGTCAACAATGTTTTAACAACAAAATGCAACCCCTTTTATGAAAATGTAAATTTCCATTTATTATGTGCTACATTATGTGACTAATCAGATACCAACAGGTTAGGGAGTAGGTAACAGCAGATACTCCTGTAAGCTCTCATGCTAGCCCTTTTTCTTGGCTATTAGTCTTAATTGCAAGAAGCAAAACAGAAGCATAAAAAATGTACCTGCCAAATTTAAAACACTTTAAAAATAAAGAGCACAGCTCTTAACAGAAGAGTGGACATTAAGTGGGCTGGTTAGCTTAGAGTATTCCCTTCCAAATGTTTGAAGTGTTCGTACACAATGTTTTTATCTTATTCATACAAAGGTTAGAGAAGTTCAGGCCAAACCAAGATTTAAAATCTTTCAGACAATCAAGCAATGTCTACAGTTGGCCCTTACTTTTTTCTCATCAAGACTCTCCCACAAAAAAAGTGGCTGCTGGAGGAGAGTGGGTGAGTTGTGTTTGGTCTCTTTGCTAAAGAGTCCAGGCAAAGCTGAAAAGATGTTTGATGGCTAGTACTGTGGCTATGACCCTACATGTACTGCTGATTAAGTTAGGCACTGTTCTGAGCATTATTTGTGGCTATAGAGTGGCTTTTTGGTTGAGGTTTGCACGTGGATAGGTAGACCACCTTGCATTGTTATCGTGCGGTCTTTGCTGAAGTTGGTGTAACTCAAGAAGCAAGCAGTCTGCAACATTCATCTCTCAAGGGGGTGTCGAACTCAGTATTATGGTTTGTTTGACCATAACCAAAATTTATGCTGGAATATCCCTTTAAATGTAAATATATTTGCACATCATTTGCAAAAATAAAACAAGACTTCAATAGAGCACAGGGGCAGCAAAAGGAAAAATAAGACAGGGGCCCAAAACAGACCCCTGAGGAACACCAAGAATATTGCCTCAGAGAAGGATATGACTTCTTTTTGCTGCTTATGTAGTTAATGCTTTCTGGCCTTTTAAAAGAATGCAGCTTTTGGAGAGTTCATTAAATTGACAGTGAAAATTATTAGCCTCTCTTCAACAACATGGCACAAAGGGGTCACTTAAAGTGTCTCAATACTGTGAATGTTCATACAGAAGTTTTTATTAATGTAGGCCAAACTCAAAGCAGTAAAAGGGAACAGCGTGAATGTGAACAAGATTTATTTTGTGTTGGCGTTTCCTTATTCTTTATGAAGCCAAGGTCAGTCCTTTCAAAATCTTAACAAAGTGCTCTGAGTGTTTAAATATAAAAAAGTTAAGCGAGATAAAAATCCCTCAGTAGATATTGACGAGGCCAAATGAATAATACCAGTGAAGGTTCAGTGTGAAGTTTTTGTAACTTTGAAGGGATAAACTTCAAATGTTTTCTATTTATGCAAATCAAAAAGTTCACCGTTTTACTTTGACGTTACGCCATTATTCAGTGTTTTTCCTACAAACACCAATATTGCAATAAAATGGGGTTTGAACTTGTGCTGTCTTGGTTCCGCCTAATCTTTCTGATTTTTCTGTAAACTTCTTCGCACCTGCCTCCACTTCAGCTTTTTCTAACACTAGTCGTCTTTGCTGTTGCTCTCTCTGCCTCGGCTTTTAATGCATGCACATGAAACAAAAGGGAGGTGTGATCTCCCTGCATGCCACAAGCTTGGAATTCGGCATAAAATACATGTGTGGAAGGACAGGGAGCTCTCAGGACAGAGTTATGGCCCTGAATTAAATTTTTCTTGACATGGTAATCCTGATTGGAATAATTCTTAGCGTTGGTATAAGGAGGATCAGTTGTCCTGCTCATACAAAAGAGATTCAAGGAAGGACACAGCAGCATGTTCTGTGTGTATGCATGTGCCACATCTCACAGGTGTGTTTGAACAGACACCCAGCCGCCCATGAAATAGTCATGCAGCGTCCTGTGTCTCTTATTTGCATCTGAATCCTCTCCTCCCTTCATCTCCCCAAACGTAATGAAAAGCTGCTCCTGCATATCAAACTGTTGTCCTTCACGCCCTCACATATATCTCACAGGGCTTTGGGATCCATAACCATGCAGACATGCTTTACACAAGCACTTTGTAATGAGACAACTGCTTTCTGCTATCCACCTTGAATTCACCCCTCAAAGGAATGCAGGCTCCTCTGGTTTGGACAGGAAATGGGGGAGTAACGGTTTGCACACCAAGTTCCCATTTACGACCCAGGCAACCATTTGGGAGGTGATAGTGAATCTTTAACGCTTCCCAAAAAAAAAAAAAAAAGGACAAGTTGCTTATCAGCCACACAGACCCATAAACACGGAGTCTCTCACCC